GGGAACTGTCTTGCTTGATGGGTAGTCATCATCATCATCATCTGCGTTGCCGAAAAAAATAATAGTAATAGTAAAATGAAAAATAAAATACTAAACGGCATTATGCAGCCGTGTAAGCAGTAGATGCACAGTGTGACTGGCAGGCATCTCTGTCAGATGCCAACTGGCAATTCTCATGCAGAGACATACCAGTCCACGAAACGATATTGATGGGTAGTACCAAGAGTAGATAAACAAGAGTGTGCAACTCCGGATGGATTGGCCCACGGCGGAATTTTTTGTTGACGTAATCTTTTCGACGACGCACGCGCTGCGAGCCTTTTGGAGAGTTTTCCCTCGTGCACTTGGCTGGGCTTTACACTACAAGGTCGGTGCCCAGCACGTGCTCTCACACTGCTCTGCGGCAAAGTCCGCGTTCCTCTGAAAAAAGGTGACGTAAACAAAAAATTCCGCCGTGGGCGCGGGGTATCTGCAGATTGTGCAGGAGAGATCCGGAGTTGCACACTCTTGTTTATCTACTCTTGGTAGTACACGTAGATCTACATGTACATGTACACTAACCATGATCACACGCGTAAGACGCGTAGATGTCCCGGAAGGAGGAGCCGTGTATCACAGCTGAGAGAAACGAACAGAGAAACTAACAACACCCGGACGTACTTGTACATGTACATGGAAATTGTGGGCACAAGTTATGCAATCGAGTCCACCAGCTAAACCAGATTTTTGAACAGTCAGATGTGCACAACCTAGCACAAAACTGACAGTGACAAGGAGTACTGAGACATTCCACGGGTTCCAGGGCATAACTTGTGCCCAGAATTTCCATGTTACAAATATTTCCTTGGCTCACCATCTGAGTTCTTAATCCCGACATACAATAACGTTTAATAATAGGAAGTGCACGGTATTAAATACTATTATTTTTGTAAACTAAATAGACTAAGAAGTTAAGCGCGATTAGTATCTGGCTGCCCACAACACGGCAATCGCACAGGTCTATGGACAGGAGCAAGAGTACATGAAAACCGGTTTTCACGTACTCTTGAGAGGAGAGAACACGGTATAGTACAATACCAGATCGTTGCAACGCCGAGTTTCATGCTCAGTGCATACATCAGGCCACGGAAAGGAAAGAAAAAATGAAGACTTAGAGTAAGAATGGTGGGAGACAAAGAGAACGAGACAGATAGTTAGAGATATAGAGACAGTCTAGAGTGAGAGAGAGAAAGAGAGGGAGCAGACAGACAGACAGGGACAGAGAGAGAGAGAGAGAGAGAGAGATAGAGAGAGAGAGAGAGAGAGAGAGAGAGAGAGAGAGAGAGAGAGATAGAGAGAGAGAGAGGAACAGAGAGAGAGAGAGAGAGAGAGAGAGAGAGAGAGAGAGAGAGAGAGAGAGAGAGAGAGAGAGAGAGAGAGAGAGAGAGAGAGAGAGAGAGAGAGAGAGAGAGAGAGAGAGAGAGAGAGAGAGAGAGAGAGAGAGAGAGAGAGAGAGAGAGAGAGAGAGAGAGAGAGAGAGAGAGAGAGAGAGAGAGGGAGAGAGGGGGAGGGGAGAAACTCGGCCTTGAAGAAGGAAAGGGCTTTGAAGAGGGAAAGAGACTAGGAGAGAGAGAAAGAGAGAGACTCGAAGAGAATGACTCGGAGAAGGAGAGAGCCTCGGAGATGGAGAGGGCCTTGAAGAAGCAGAGGGACTTGTAAAGGGAGAGGGATGTGACGAGAGAGATAGATAGATAGATAGATAGAGAGAGAGAGAGACTTGAAGAGCGAGAGAGAGAGAAACAGAGGGAGAAAGATCAGAGAAAAATCAGAGAAAGAGAACGAAAAAGCGCGTTAGAGAAAGACAAAGAAAGAGAGAAAGGTGAAAGAAAGAAAGAGAGAGAGACACACACACATAGAGAGATACAGAGAAAGAGACAGAGAGAGACAGTGATAGAGGGCAAAGGCAGAGAGAGACAGAGACAGACAGAGGGAGACAGAGAGATAGAAAAGAGAGAGACAAAGAGATAGAGACAGAGAGACTGGAAAAGAGAGAAATAGAGAGCTTGATAACTAGACAGATTAATAGAGAGAGAGGGAGACTCAAAGATAGCGAGTGATAGAGGGAGAAAAAAGAGAGAAAGATCAGAGAAATAGAGAGAAAGAGACTCGAAGACAGAGACTAGAAGTGGGAAAAAGCCTCAATGTGGGAGAGAGCCTTGAACAGACTTGGAGAGGTAGAGGGACGTGACGATAGAGAGAGAGACTCGAAGAGAGGACTCAAAGAGAGAGTGAGACTTGAAGAAAGAGAGAGCCTCCGAGAAGGAGAGAGCCTCGAAGAAGAAGAGGGCCTTGGAGAGAGAGAGAGAGAGAGAGAGAGAGAGAGAGAGAGAGAGAGAGAGAGAGAGAGAGAGAGAGAAAGATAGAGAGAGAGAGAGAGGGAGAGTGAGTGCGAGAGAGATAGAAAGAAAGAGAGAGAGGGGGAGAGGAACAGAGAGAGTGAGTGATAAAGGGAGAAAAAGAGAGAAAGATCGGAGGACAGAGAAAGAGAAAGAGACAGCAAAAGGGACAGAGAAATAGATAAATAAAGAGAGAGAGGTAAATAGTCACAGGTTTGAGGGAAAGATGCAAAGGGGAAAAGTCTGATAGAGAGAGAAAGAGAGAGATAGAGATATAGAGAGATATAGATAGAGATAGATAGAGAGAGAGGAGAGAGAGAGAGAGAGAGAGAGAGAGAGAGAGAGAGAGAGAGAGAGAGAGAGAGAGAGAGAGAGAGAGAAAGAGAGAAGCGAGAGAGAGATCGAGCAAGAGAGAGAGAGAGAGATCGAGAGAGTTAGAGACAGACAGAGAAAGAAAGAAAGAAAGAAAGAAAGAGAGAAAGAGAGAGAGAGAGAGAGAGAGAGCAGGGGGGGGGGGGGGGGGGAGAGAGGCGTGGACATAGCAATGGCAACGGTCGACGGTATGCTGCGGCTAGTACGGTGCCGGACACTCCGTCGAAATTGAAAACAGGTTGAAAAATGATGGTCTAGGAACTCATTTCCTTTGGTTTGATGTAATGAACTATCTGTACTTGAAGCAAGGTCTAATTACGTACATGTACATGTACATGTATACATGAATTACATAGTAACCTGTCTTGGTGCATTTTGTTATTGTACATGGAATTTAATAATAATAATAGTAACTAAATGTAACTAGGATGGTGAGCCAATTAAATTAGTCCTTTCCGAACCTGAGCCTTCCAAGTTGGAGGGTTGTTGGTTTGCGCCTTGGAGAAGTGTTGGAGCTAGGTGTCAGGTCGCCGAATGTCTCAGTACTCCTTGTTAGTTTTGTGCCATTTTGTCGCACTCGCTGACTGTATAAGATCTGGTTACGTTGGTGGAAAGTTAGTCATAACTCGTAACATTTTGTCCTTCTTCTTTTTCACAATAGTAACTAATGTTACTTTATTAGGATGACCCAAAGGCTGACAACATTCTGTTGAAAACTGCGCAGCTGCAGCACCAATGCAGTGCTTGCTGGTATTTTACTATCCATACACGATTTATGATGTAGATAGTCAGTGTCACACTAGCACTAGTAAATGTAGTATCACACTGTGTCTTGTAGACGTAGACAAGACCTGAATATGGCGCGGCCACAGTATACTGCAGCTGTAGGTCATTTGGCCCCCCGATTTGGCTAACGGTTTCTTGTCAAGTGTTTGTGTTCAATCATTATCTTACACTCCCATTGAGAATTCTACATTGGCAGTTACTGGTATTGTCGAATTTGGGTTGTCCTTTGGCTCTTACTTCATGGTTCCACACTCGCCACTAAGGACTTAGAGGTGAAAAGGCCTAGTGGTGGCCTGCGGAAGCGAAGGCTATAGCTTGTGTGTTTCTGAACATTAAAGTGATGCTAACGCGGATCCCGCGAATATTATCATTATTATCATGGCCGTGAATCCACGGCTTTCTAAATAAACCCGTTTTCAAGTATCTGTGCCTTTGTAATGACGCTGTATGTGTCCTCAGTTGACTTCACTCGGTGCCTTCAACTCTTGACATTGCAGTAGTGAATTCCCTTCGAAGTGAGAGCTAGCCGTTGGCTGGTGAGAAGGCATCATTGCCTCAATGCCTGTTCACTCGATGAAGTAAAATAAAGAATACCATAGGTACCATACCGTCTTTGTATCTTTCCCTCCAGCCATTGAATACCATACCATATCCATACCATCATTATTTTACCGTCTTTGTATCTTTCCCTCCAGCCATTGAATACCATACCATATCCACACCATAATTATTATTTTGGTGTGCAACAGGTCTTTCTCTATCTCAGTATCTGTAAGGCGCGAGTATTATTAATTTTATAGTCAGTAGATCTACAATCCGCGATCCGAGCTGCGTGTGATCATAGACACACGTCACATAGACAGAAGCAGTACTGACTGTACTCTCTCCCTCTCTGTACCATGTGTACTGTCTGTAGCCTCATTCCTCACTCAACCCCGGGCCGTGGCTACAGTATGTGGCGCGCGTGAAATTCCAAGCGGACATTTTTCACGTTTTCAGGATTCCACTGCTCCAGTTTTGTGGCATATTATGCGCATGCATGCCGTTCCATTAGTTTACAGTCGGCCGAAGTGCACTGACTGTGTACTAGTGTGTAGCGACGAATGCCAGCCTACCACGGACCAGACCAGCTGAACGGAGTCGCGAGGAGAAGGGGGGGGGGGGGGGGGGGGTGGCAATGCAAGATGGAGGTGCTGCCTCGACTCCCCGGGCAGTGCACGTCTGATCCGGGGGCCACTCGAACTCTCAACCAGGAGATCTACCAGTACCACTACCACTGATACTGAGTCTGATATGCACCAGTGCAGGACAGTCTCTCCTGCACTTACTTGCGGTGTGTGACACATGCATGTGCAGCGTTGCGCGCGGTGATGTTCTGCCTTCTGGGGCTACAAAACCAGGCCAGTGCACGCAGCAAGTGCAAGTGCTGGTGCTGTACAGTCGCAGAAAAAAATTAGGTGCATCCACGTTTGGCGTGGATCTTCGCATCACCAGACTCCAGAGCTCTATATCTGGGGGAGTGCATGCTGGGCCTGCTGCTGCACGAGGCGAAACCAGTCGCTGATGGTCACCATCTGCAGTATTTTGTGCTTCGGTGTGGTCTGTGTGGAAGCAAGCCACGTTGCTGCAGTGGGCTGGTCCGCGCCAGATCTGTGCTTCAGCTATTCTCTTGTGCGTCGAGCACTTGCGTTCTGTTTGCCTTCATCACCTCGCAGGCTGCCAGGTTTCTGTCCCTGGAATGCCTCTCTGGCACTCTACACTTGTCACGCAGAGCAGCAGCTAGCCGTTTAGAAATCAGTTTAGTACACGTTGGGTACAGCCAGCACCACACTACTGCCCACTAGCACTGCCACTAGTGCAGGCCTGTCGTAGTTCTGGATTTTTGCACAGGCTCATTCTGTTCGGTGTTGCACACGTCTGTCTCCGAGCTCACACCATCCCTTCGCACTAGCCCCCTCACTTGCCACCGACGTGCCAACCGACCCTGCTTCTCCTGCCAAGTTTTTGGCCGTCAACCTTCACACCAGACTCGGTCAGGCGGTCAGGTGACGTGAATTCTTGCGACCTGTATGATTACATTGCGCTACTGCTGGATACGCTGAGCGAGAGAAGAAAAAGTGAGAGAAGGAGAGGGAGTGTGTCGTTCTGGGGCCTACTGGAGTAACCCTGTGCGAACTGTGAAGGGAGGCATCACGGCTTGACCCGTCCAGAAATGATCATCTCGTGTCCTGCGTTCAACAGCGGTCGTAGTCTCCAAGAGTAACTTTGCTGCGATCAACTGATTGATGGAGCCCTCCGATTCAGACGCGATCAGCACAGAGCAGCTCGATCTGCTTCCCGATCCCGAAGATACGGACGACACAGCCAGCGCTGCCGAGGATGAGGAGGTAACTCGTGTACTCTTGTATTTTGGTGGTCCACTGTGGCATTTGCTGGGCAGATTTGCATGGCTTGGCGTGACAGGATAGTGCGAGGGGAGAGCGCTGCGTTGTTTTTTTCTGGTTTGTTTGTCTGGTGTGGTCTGTCGCCTTTTGCGTATTCAATGACTTATGCACGTTCTGTGTGTTACTGGATGTGACGCGGGGACTCTGTGCTGGAGTAACACCTAATGAGATTTGCTCGAGCCAGAGCCAGAAATGTGACTGCGAGAGCGAAACTAAAACAAAATAATTGGTGTGAGATGATGTGAATACACATACCAGCACATTCACTGTTACAAGCCTTGTCACTATTTCCAGAAAAAGGCACAACCAGAGATTTGATTTGGCGGGGATCCACGTGTACGCGTGTGCTTCATTTTTGTGCAGGTCCGAACGCTCTTTGTTAGTGGTCTGCCTCTGGATGTCAAACCCAGAGAGCTTCACTTGCTCTTTCGCAGCTTCCAGGTCAGTGGAGATCCGTCTAGGCATTGAATAATATTATTGTTCTGTGTTTCTCTCGTAAGGTCTGCTTTTTTGTCTCGATAATACTGTAGCTTCTCCCTCTCTAGAGGGTCGGCAGGTGGACCATGGCAGCCAGCGTGAGTCAACGTGGGGTTAGGGTGATGTTACGGTCGACAGATTTTTAGGAATGGTGAGCGCTGCTTTGCGCGCTGCCTTTGGCCGGGCTCCCGGGTCGGGAACGGGCTGGCAGCGTGCGTGCGCGCGCGTTTGTGAAACAGATCGCCAAGGAGTGTGTGTGGCGACCAAGTGGTGGCTGTTTGTAGGTGACATTAGCATCGTGGCTCGTTGGAGTAGCGTCACGTTTGGTACACGAGTGAAGGCAACACTTCTGTGCCTATGTAACGCTGGCTGTCGGCGGAATTCCAAGCACTTAGTGCAACTACGTCCGCCAATTTTCGTTCTCCTAGCGCTGGCTAGCGGCGAAAGCTTCCGTACTGTATGGTGCAGCGTTGTTCCGTGCTCAGTGTATGGTCGGTATCCTGGCCATAACGAGCTGGCCGATGGATGTGTGTCGTCATCTAGGCAGCCCATCTTCGTCATCCCGTGTGCACTTTGTAGGAAGCTGGGCTCGACTCGACTCTGCCGTCCGTCCTGCCTGAACTGAACGGTTTGCTGTGCAGACGAGCGGACGTAAAGATGCACTGGGCGAGAGAGAAAGCACGAAGGGTAATCAAACATAGTTGCCCCGAAAGTAGTCCTGGGACAGTGCTTGCACTTCGGGCATTGTGTGAGGGCGCGCGTGAATGGATAAGGTGTTGAAAATAGCTGTCCTGGAAGAAAATAGAACTCGCACCTTTTGTTTCTGCGCTGGCATTCGCGTGGGCACAGCGTGTTAGAATGATGTCTTTTGTGATTAGGCTTCGCAGCCGGGGTCTAGCCACTTCAGTTGCTCAGTGGTTGTGTGTGGCGAACTAAACTACTTGTTCATACATTTCCAGGTCTAGTTGAGACGATTTATCAGGGAGTCCAATTTCAATTCATCGCTACGCTGCTGCCTGGATGCAAGCTCTCTGCTTTCCGCATCGACGATCGAGCTCGACTCGAGTCTGCCCGTCTCGCTCAGCAATCAGCTGCTGAATATTTTTCCTTCTACTCGATTGTGCGCGAGGCAGACGTGTCGTTCGGGTTGATTGGATGTATTTTTTTTGTGATTCGCCGCCAGGCTACATGAAGTCTAGGACCCCAGATGGCCCTGTGCTGAAGCAGGGGAAACGAGATTTCTGCAATCCTGGTGCCAATGACTGGATTGCGATGCCAATTTTCAAGAAGTCCCACGTGCCTTGTAGTCGATTGTGCTTGACAGTTGGCAGAGGTTTTTGACGTGTGTTGAGTGCCTGTCCGTGTTTTGACGTCTGGTTTGGGGCACAGCTAGGTTAGAAGCCTGGAAGGGTGCAAAAGCTGATGACAACCTACTGTGACATACTGGCAACGGACCCATGCGCTGCTCCATCTCAGGTGGTGTGCTGAAGGTGTGGGGAGCGCGTGGCAAGGGCATGCTGTGCCATGCAGTGCAGCACACTGCCAAAAAAATCCAAAAATCCGAAATGGTGAGAACGCAGAATCCAAGGATAAACAGTAGGTGGGGACCACACGAGCAGACCTGCCCAGCCCAGCTCCGAGGGCACTCCTCCATCACTCCTCGCGGACGCCTCTTTGACAGCAGCATATGTGATCTCGTCACTGGTCCCTTCTGCAGCATTCTGCAATGCGGCAAGCCCTCCTGCTCACTCCAAACGACCTCTCCATTCGAAACGTACGCACACAAAACACACACTACAAAAATGCACACAGTTTCATAACACGGCACCTCCTCCTGTATGACTCTAAGTATGCTGGTCACGCGTCCTGTCTTGCGGCTTATGATGCGGCTGCTGTTACTTGAGCAACATTCTGCCATCAATCCGGTGAAGAATAGTCCGGACATGCTCCCCGTCCCCGTGTCTTGCACAGCGCCATGCGGTCGATCGTACGTGCCCATTTGCAGATGACGTCTTTCATGTCAGCCGTGTTCTTGAAACCTGTCAATGCCTCTCTGGACTCGATCAATGTCGTGTTTAGATTTGTCTCAAGGCAGTATCTAGGAACGTCTTGCGTGCGACTTGCTTAGGAGAGCTGCCCTTCTGACGGCCTACCTTTCATGTCGGCTTCCTCTCCTCACACACACACACACACACACACACACACACACACACACACACACACACACACACACACACACACACACACACACACACATGCACATGCACACACACACACACACACACACACACACACACACACACACACACACACACACACATATATACACACACACACACACATGCATGCACACACCGAGTGTTAGAGAGAAATGTGCAGCCATATGTTAGCTAAACCTACACGTGCACTGTTTAAGTTATGCAGCTGGAGCTGTTAGGTTCCGAGCACAGTGTCTGCTGCATGAATTGAGGCTTTCGTGCGGTTCTATTGAATTCCGACACGCTGGTGTGGCAAGCATTTGCCGCTTTCCTATGATACTAGGCCCAATTTAAGATGCAGGTAAAATTACTTGCTAGGTATGGATTGTAATTGCCAGGACTTGTCAATGGCAATTTCGTGATTTCGTCAGTTGGCCAGTGGAGTGCCTGCGGGCTTGATGATATTCTGATATTCGGCTTACGGTTCCATTACATGCTGCGTGCCGTGCTAAGAATGACAGCTGGTGTGAGCTGTCCGTGCGTGCTGTAGAAATGTTGGGTGGGTACGGACACAGTGCCTGACTTGGATGGCCTCCTTTTTGTCAGTTGCACCAGATAACTCTGTTATCAGCGCCGGCCATTTTGGGTATATGGCAAGAAGATATGGCCATTGCCTCGGCTCAAGTGCTGATTTGAGGTGTCTGCAGGTTCTATTTGGGGCTTGCTATCTCCCAATTTGGCAAGAAAACATCACTGGCCAACCCTAACATGTGAAGTGTTTCTGGGTCCTGCCTGGAATACTGGGCCTGTGTGCTAAAGCGTGTAAGATGGGATGGGGTGATGAGAGATGCAAAGATAAGGAAAAATTTGACAGCTCAGTTGTCATGTTGTCTTCTGCAGCAGATCTTGTTGAGAGGGCGGAGGGCGCAGCCTTGTTGAGTTCTGTGGCCATGCTACATGCACACACATACACACAATGTAGGATCAGCATAAACTGCATGGCATATGACTAGGCAGTCATGTGCAGGCTCAAGCATCATAACGTTTCAATAGCTTCTCACAGAGTCTATCTATGCCATTCGAACATACCTGGTTTAGACTGGCGAATTGGGTAGTTGCTGGCATGGGCCCGCACAACTGACGACGCGGCCATTTTTGCTGGGCTTGGCCCATTCCCACGGGGGAGGCAGTCTGTTGAAGGCCGTCGTGGTGTTTCTGCGGCCACCACATGACATTCCGAATTCCGAGATTTGGGTGCTGGTGTGCTGACAGCAGTGGATAACGTGTGGTTAAAATTGGTCCTTGCTCACTCTATTCTGCCTTCGGTTGGGCAGGTGTGTTGACAGTTATGTTATCACGGTATCGGTCTGATCTGGCTAGGGTGGGATGCGTCGCCAATCCTGGGTGCCAGCCATTGTCCAGTGGCCGAATTATGATCATAATATAAACCGTACCTATTTTATATCAACAGTAGAAGTCACAGTGCAGTATCCTAGCTCGCCATAGTCACCATCCACTCGCATACAGGCTCATAATCCAGGCTATCTGTAGTCCCTGGCCACAGGCATGCAGACGCATAGTCCTCCTGGCTCTCCGTAGAAAACAACCACAGCTAGGCATACAGACACATGATCCTGCCACCGGGATATCCATAGCGACCATCCACAGCGGCAGCTGCATGTATTCGCTGGTTGCTTTTGATGACATCGTACCAGGTTAGTGAGGTACCAAGCCTGTTTCATGGTTCCAGCGACAGCATTGTGTCTGTTTCTGAGAGGACAACTTCCCTGGGCTAGGCTCTGTGTGTGAGGGAATGTGTCGACCACGTTTGGTACTGCTGCTGCTGATGCCATTGTACGTACCGAGCTCAGGAGCAGCAGGTTGTGTTACTAACTTATGTATGCTGTACCTGGTCCTGTACTTCTGTCCTAGACTGGTGTCTTCTCTGTTCTCTGTGTGTAAGGCCATGGCCTTGTTGCTGGTATTGGTATCGCTATCAGCCTAGGGGACTGTAGCTGTGCTTCCTGGCTGTGATGTCACCGCTGCTGAAAGGCCATGTCATACATGTACATGCACCTGCATACCCCCGGGGGGGGGATTTCCCCAGCAGGCATGGCACTATAATGTACATAATGTGTGTGCAGGTCACAGTTTCACACGTCGTTCACTCACCGGGGTATGCACAACATGTGTGGAGCACAATACATGACCGTTGCCATACTCAACCCCCAACTCCTGCAACATTACTACAAACACAACTCCTGTGCTAACTGTTAGATAGCAGTTACACGCTGTGATGGATGCCAGTGATATAAACCCAGTAGGTAGAGATGAGAACTCTACGTATGCCTGTTGTGTACACATTTTGCTGCCGGGTACAAAACGCTATTGTAGTAGCAGGCAGTATGTAGCATCGACATAATCTGCACTGCACAAGGTCACTTTTAGCTGCGAATCATGAACTGTCCTTCACAGCATGAGGAGTTGCCAAATGTCTGTTATATGTAGGCATGGTGTTGCCAGGTGGTGTGTGTACGCAGTTAGCTCCGTATCATCAAGGATTCTTCTGTGTGAGTGTGGGATAAACGCATGCACTGGCATCAGATGGCTGGGTGAGATGAGGAGGCACATGCACTCTATGACTAGGACGCCATGCTGGCTGTGTAGAAGCACATGCTGTAGCATGTGCTTCTACACAGTTAGTCATGGTGATCGTTGGGCTGCGGGAGAGTCATTTGTTTCTTTTCTATGGCAACCTATGATGGT